GCATCCAGATCCATCGGCGGCATTGTGCATGGAAGAGTTTTTTACAGGGGTAAGACGAAAGTTTGCGCCTCGGGGAAGAGTTTCTTTTTGCATTCTGCGGATCCTCTCTTGTATCTAGAAAAAATATTCAAGCGTTAATATGATCTTACTTGACGAGTCCGGTCAATGAACTAGCTAATCCTACAGAATTGGGCGCCTGCGACCTACAACATTGATCATTTGTGTACATTTGCGCCCGTAGCGCACGTCACAAGCGTTTTCACGCCAAACGGGTATCATATTCATGCACAGGGAGCAAGGCTACTCCAGGGAACAGATTTCTAGCCAAGCGTTAAGTTTTCACACGAGTTTGAAAAGATAGTTGTGGGATAGTAAAAACTAGTGATTCCAGGTCTACTCTGCTATCGAATGCTTGTCTAAGGATGAAATTAGCTTACAAATATCAGGAAATCTGGAGCAGTAAAGCGAAGCGAATGCGTCAGAAATGGCAAGATGAGGCTTTGTACAGGAGAATGACCAGTAGCTGAATAGGTGTGAACATGAATTAGAACTGCATCCCATGGATGATTCACTTTTCGAAGTCAGGTCAAAATGCCAGATTTGGCTAGAAACTCGTACCGAGTGGTAGTTCAATCGCTCCGATAACTTTTCTCTTCGATTCCGATAGTACCTTTATAGGGTCCCTCCATTCAGCAACTGGTCAAAGTTTCAAGCGGTTTACAGCTCGTAGAGGCTCAAAAACAATCAGTTTCCATAGGTTTCTTTTTCGCTCCTTTTTTGGCATTCCAGGGGCCGCTCAGCCAAAACGAAGCCCACTTTATGGTTCATGGGCAAGGCCCTACAAAGTGCAATAAACCGTTTCGAAAAAGCGGGGCACACCCTGAACGACCTCCCTTGTTAGGTGAGCAGTGGTGACACTACGGCCACATTTTGCAATGTTTTTTCAAGAAGCAAAAGGTTTGAGTTGAGCCGGGATACGATCCCATGACCTTGTTGCGTGGTAAATGCGGTGGAAAAAGCTCCATAACTCCGTTCAGAGAACCGTTCCGCAAATTTTCAAGGGCAGATTTGAGATCAGCGTTCAAAACCACGTCGTTCGGAAATGTCATAAGCTATGTCTCATTATAAACGGCCACTTTAACCTGGCGACTCCCCCTTTTAAAAATTTGCTTTGCTTCGGCAGCTTTATTGTTCGCCGACCACTTTTCTTTCGCATGGTCTACCAGGATTCTATATCGATTCTCCACCAGGATCATCGATACTTCCTCTTTACCGTAATATACTACTTCCTTATTGGTGCGCTATTATCGTAGCACCTCATTTAGCGATGACTCAGCTGTAACCTCAATTAATGGCAATCGATAGGCTTCTCGGGCTGAGTCATCAGGTTTCTTTATGCCAACAGCCTTTATCTGGACTGTACATCAGGAAACATTGAAGCTCGGCTCCGCCCACTCCGGCTCATTTTCTACAGACGCTGACCTCATCTGCCAGCGACCTCTTCATACTTCATCCGCATTTATCTTCATCACTTATTGATCGCTCATCTCACCTATATAAAACTCATGTATGTCTATATATAAGAATAAAGTTTAATTACCCAAGTTTGAGGCTTATCTCCGAGCTGTCAAAGTCCCGCGTGGCAACAGGAAAGGCGAGCCTCCACATTGGTGCATCGGCCGAATCAAAGCGTGAGTTTACCTACTTCTGCGTGGATATTCTTGGTCCTGTCATCGTTTGCATGCGAAGTGACGTACCGTCGTGACTCACTCAACAGGATTTCACTAGCACCCCACCGAAGTACTCCACCTCCAAAGACTCTTACGACATCACCAGTACTCAAGCGTCGACGTCAAGGATCGCTCCCCTTCGAGATGACTGCAACCCTCAGCGGAAAACAGTCATGGCTCACTCGGATGGCTTTCGAGCTTGCAGAGGCACTCGACAAATACGAATCGATTTCTACAGACTCCGGAAGAGCTTCAGATCTCGGAACGGACCGAAATCGATTGCAACTACTTCGTCGAGAACACCAGGAACTCGAAATAAAAGCATCACAGCTGGAGAAAGCCCTCGACCGCTTCATGGAGGCAGCAGACGAGTCCCCGCAACCTATTGACGAAGGCGCCAGAAGAGCAGATCGAACAGAAACAGTTTTCATGCTCAGACGTACACCTCAGAGGACAGAAGCGTCTCAACGAACTTTCGTTAGTCCTAAACCAGGAGACGGTACCAACGGACCAAAACGAGGCACTCATGCCACGTCTCGCCCCATTACCAATTCCCAAGTTTCGAGGACAGCTGTGGGCATGGGACCGTCTTGGGGAATCTTCGAAGCAGTTATTTACAACAGGAACATCAGCAACATCGAAAAGCTGAATTATCTGTTAGAAGCACTACAAGGTCCAGCAAAGGAGACTGTCAAAGAGCTGCAAATCACAGCCGACAACTATGAAGTTGCGATCCAGCTCCTCAGGAAAAAATACGACAATCAAGAGGCCGTGATCGGTCAACTGCTTCAGCACCTTCAGACCATGCAGCCGAAAAGCTCCAGAATGGCAGACCAAATGCTCGTCTTCGATCAGATCCTTCCCATAGCTCAACTGGAAAGGAAAGGAGAAGACACCAACAGACAGCACATGCGTCGTACGATCTTGAGCAAATTCAACGACAAGATTCAACGGTCTATGTTGAAAAGGAAAGCAGCCTCGTCGAACGAGGGCTGGTCTACGAAGCAAGTTGCTCAACGATCTTCCAAGACTTCTTCGACATGGAAACTCAAATCCAGAACGTGCGAGGAACCATGGAGGAACAGAAGAAGGAATCGTTTTCCAGCGATATATTCATCGCGAGAAAAGCCAAGCTCACGAGCAGTAAGAGCGTCAAGATGTACCCATGCTTCTACTGCAATACGAGCGATCATACACCGAAATCCTGTCCAAGATACACTACAGTGGATCAACGGATGACATAATACGACAGCGTAATCTTTGTCGTAACTGCGGGTCACCAGATCACCGCGTCAAGGATTGCACTCGAGGAGCGTGTCGCCAGTGCAATGAGAAGGGCCATCATACCTCGATTTGTCGGAACACTCCTCGAGCACAACCGTCTTCGACCGAACACAGCCGATCGAAACCAGTGAAGGATGCTTCATCAAAAGCTCTCTCAGGGGCACAAGCGTCGAAGAAGAAGGAAGTTCACCAAATGTCGCCGCTGTGGTGGCCAACAAGCAGAGCTCAGCATCGTGCAAAATCGGCAATAACACCGTCATGCGCAAACCGGATACTCCACAGATATCGGGCCATTCCGTGGATCTCCTCGTAGGACAGGCCCGAGTGTGGAACGTCAGAACACAGGAATTCGAAGACACTCATCTTATTTTGGACACAGGTGCAGACCAGTCGTTCATCACAAACTCCTACGCGGAACATCTAGGACTCTCGAAAACGGGTCAACTGCAATTAACGATCCACACGTTTGTCGACAGCTGCCAAACACAGCAATCTTGCGACACAGGTCAAGTCGAAA